CCAGGGCAGACAATGAAAGCCCTGAGCAGTAATATCCTGTCCAGATTTCCCACTTATTGAGGAAGAGGGCTGGGAGTAAAGACAGTGAAAATAAAGACAAAGGCTCGAAGACAAGGGGGAAAGTTCAGACTATTTCTACAGTCTTGTTAATAATAATGGCAGGTCAATGCTCTAAACATTTCTGGATTTGGAGCTTATGTATCTGCAATACAAGTGCATCCCGTTAACTTGCACAGGTCCTTTGTTCTGGGCAACAGTGCTTTACAAAAAGCCATAGGGCAAGCACATTGGACACCACCCCAGACTGCTTCCAGCCGCTTTAAACCTAACAACGTGTACTCTACCTTGTGCACCTTATCAGGAAAAGTAATAACATCTCTTTGTCCATAGAATAATTTAGCACAGCTATTGAGAGGTGGCTTTTAGCAGAAATTTTCAATAACTTAGACTCATTTTTTTGGTTAACAGTTTTCACTTATAATAATACATAGCCTGAGTGAGCCAATTTTCCGGCAAGTCTGAAGAGGTGCAAAATCTGACACATTTCATTACCATACCAAAAATCTTTTACTTGAGAATGTCATGCTAAACTTTTTCCCTGATCCCCTCTTTTTCTTTCTCCCATGCAGATGGAGAAGACTCGGTAAGTGTGTCAAGTTCGCTGTCAAGCTCCTTAAGAACTCTCAAATGACCTTGTCAGAAGAAAAATAAATCCTAACCCTTTGATCCATATTTTAAATTCCTGACTAACCTGCCCCTTCCACTCTGCTGCTTTGTGGCTTCTGCAGCTCTGACAGAATTGAGTTCAGTATTAATGACTAGCAATCATTTTCAGGCTGTATGCTCTCCTGCCTTCTGCAGACCAAATGCCTCGTTAGCTTAGCTCTGCGGGTGAGATGCTCACCTTTGTATTGGTTTCTCCTGGGTTCAAGACGAATAAAAAGCTGGGCTTGTAGCTAGGCTAAAAATAAATTCCCATCACTCAAATGCCCTCCAAGATGCAGCTGAATCATTCAAGTCGACTTCCCTTGAAAAGGCATGCTCTGCAAAGGTACCTCGTGTGACTCTAGGGGTGGTTTCACTGCAAGTCATGTGCCACTCTGCTTGGTTATGTTGCTGTTGGCTTTCAGTGCATAATGAAATAATTCAATCTGCTGAATAAAGCCAGTTTTATGCTAGAAAATAATATAAAGTTGGTTGGACCCAGCAGACTCTTCTATAGAAGATGGAAATAAAGTACAAGCTTAAGGCAGAGCTCCGCTGATTTTCAAAACCTTTGAGTACTGCTGGGTTTTAAATCTGCTAAACATACTGAATCCTCCAGCTGCCTTTGTGAGATCACTTCTGGCATGTAACAGCTACCCTCAGCTACTTCTAAACCCGGCCCCCCCACCTCCTTCATTGGGATTCTAGTCAGCTCCCATATAACGACTTCACACTTAGAATATTCAAACATGATTTTTGATTTAGAATTGAGAAATAGATTTTAAACATTAAGAACTTGTAAATCTGCCTCACAAGTGGATATTCACACAAGTTAGCCTTGGCTTAATGATGCTAGACTCTGATTTACCCAGACAACCCAGGGAGAGAGGCAGCTTTCTTCTTTCATTCACCCACTGGAGAAGCTTTTTTCTCTTCAGTCACTGTAGGGAGAACCTGGGTGTTGCGAGGTTAAAATCTGCCTTTGGGATATCCCTCAGAATAACAACTGTGTGGTGAGAACAGAGCTCCTATGCATCCCAGGAACAAATCAGGGCTCCTTACTGCGGCATGTGCACAGGCTGTCTGCATACAAGGACCCAAAAGAGCACAAAATAAAAGCATTTCTATCTCCAAAATTATATAAGGATACAGGGGGCATTGAAACAACACAAAGACAAAAGGAACACGGAAAAAAATGTTAGGGCAGGAAGAATGGAGAACTAAAGACTAAAGACATTAAATTTTCTTGCAGTTTGCACCGCATAAAAGATCTAGGACACATTCTTCTCACTGTTCATTTTTCCCTGCATGGAAAATGCCAGCAATTAAATGTGCGGTGGAAAACACCTGGAAAAGATAAAATATTCCTTCCTTCATCTCAGCACTTCCTATTTAAATAGTTCTCTCTATGTATACACATCTATACAGCATATATACACATTCACACACGTACATCTATCTGTATGTATATATAAACTAAGGATATATATGAAGAACAACCTATTGGCCAAATACAATCCATTTGTAAGATTTAAATGAGGCAAAAGCAACGCCCAGCTCTCTATGCAAGGCCAAGTATCACACCCAGACTGCATCGCCCAGTCTGCATTCTGCTTTCTCACAACAGACTATCCACAGTCTCGGAGAAATTTTCCACCGAAAGAGAAATGATCCTTTATTCTGTAAAGAGACAGGAACCTTTAACAGATGTACGACTGTTTGTATCGCTTCAAGGTATCCACGTGTGATTTCAGCATCTCTAAAGCGATCTGTGGTTTTGCCCAGAGTCAGACGTCTCAGGAACACAAGGAACAAGACACTTTTAAAGCAGCTCTAAATCTGTTGGCAATATTTCTTTTTCTTGCCAGGATTTACCTTTTTGTTTTTCCTCTTGGGAAGACAGAAGGGTCACAAGGCCTCTGAAAATGGTAGGAGCATAAGTTCCATTTGAAGTCAATAGGATTTGTAATCCTAGATCCCGCAAATGCCTTTGAAAATCTCTGTTGATATATGCCTTGGCAAAAACATCACCTTTCCCTTTCCTTTGACACTGAAGTTCCATTTCCATAAAGACAGAGAATCTACACTTTTACCTCTAACATACATAAGCCTCCAATGATATTCCTCTGTGAGGTACCTACATGCAATATAAAGAAACTGTTTGGCAAGGAAATACGGAAATAGATTCAGTAAAGTGAATTTTCAAAAGCACTTTCAGAGACTTTCAGTGGGTATTTTCTTCCTAAACACTTCAGTAATGTGGAAGATTCAAAACTCTGATCAGCAAAGCTGCTTCCTTTTATGACTTCTGTTTGTAAAATGAATGACTGGCAGAGCTCAAATTGGAAGTGAATAAAGGAAGCATTGTGGTTTCATCTCCTCCACTGGTCTGTCATTTATCTGGTTACTCCTTAATTCGTTTGTTCATGCCTTTCCTTCTCCTTAACTGATTGACTCTTCTCATTTGTGGTATGATTCATGAGTATAATTTCATACTATTTGATTTCCAGATGCATAAGAATGTTTTGATGTAACATGACTTGCCTTTTTTTAGGCAATTAAAAATTAGCTCAGTAATAATATTATTAGCTCAATAATTTGCTTAAGCAATTTGCTCATAGAAATACCTTTTCTGAATGTAAAATCCCAACAATTCCATGCCCAGAGAGCCACTTCACATTCTGAAGGGCAAAAGAAATCTCACACTCTACTTGAATGCCACTTGATTTTGAACATGGGATTCAACAGAAGGGAGGACTGTGCAATGCACCTACAGTAACTGAAATTCATTTGTATTGTAGTTACCATGTAATGATCATTCCTTTCTATGTAACTTTCAGATAAAATCTTTGAAAACCCTTACAAATTTCAGAGCAGATGCAGATTGAAATTTATAGAATACCATTTTGAATAACATTCTAGGACACCAGTGTTCTGCAATTTAAGAGGCATGGTGTTGAATAATGAACCAAACCTAGTCAAAGAAATCCAGGATCCTAAAAATGCCTTAAGCACTGGAAAAAGTCCACTACCTGTGATGTTACAGCTGTAATATTGGCAAATCAGATGTGTTCTCAAGCAGGAGATGTACGAGCTTCACTGAACATTACACATAGGAAAAATGAGCAACTGTTGAAAGCAAACAGAGAAGCTAACTGACCTGCACTTTTCTGTTGCGTGGTGTTATCCTCCACAAATCAAACAGCCGATAACTGCTTCCACCCAAGGAAAATATGTGCAACATGTAATTTTTACTATTTGTCCTGGAAAAAGGACATTCTAAAAAGCTTGACAAAATAATGAAGTATAAGACCCAAGTGGTGTCAGTGACAGATACAACAAAGAACAAAGTTAAAGTACAATATTCTGATTTTAAGACAAAACTATGGAATGCTATCAGCTTGCACTGCTTTTGTAAGACCCTTTCAGAGGATGGACTGCTGAGAGCCTTTGCATATAGTGTTTTTTACTGACAAAGCGTTAAGTATCCAATACAACCCACCATGCCTAGCAACATCAGTGTTTCCAGCAATATTCATCTATGGTATTAAGAACAAACGTCTCTTACCACCCCACCTGAAAAGCTTTTAACAAGCTGTGAACATCAAGCACAGAAAGCTTGGTAAGTTGCTATCTGAGATCTTTTCTAAGTTGTCAACTGAAGTTCTTTCTCCTGGCATGGATCTTGTTTCCAGTGTTATCCTGGTCACAACAATTTGAATGCTTAGGAGTATTTTCCTGTCCTTTGGTGGCCGGCCTGGAAACTGTTGAATTACTGCCGTAATGTAGCAATCCACCACAATGAAGTGCAAAATGCCATTTGCAGAATCTATATCTGAATCAGCAGCATATATACGCAACACCCCTTCCCTTCAAAAAAGCAGCCCTGAAATTCATACATCACAGAGAATTAGTCCCTTGAATGTTAGGAAATGCATTAATTACATTTATGGCACTCCTTTAGGAAAGTTTTAAACATGAAAGGAAATGTATGTGAAGATACCTGTTTTAAAGTGCATATGAGACTGATATACATGGTTACAGAAAATCCTTCTAAGCATATATATTATTGCTGAACATAAACTGGAAGGGATGGGGATTAAAAAAGGCGGCTGAAAAAATAGAGAAATGAGTCACATCTTTATACATAAATCACCTTGAGCTCTGACTAAATTGGGAAGGAGATGTAAGTACGAATATAGCTCTTCAGTAATGCATGGGACAGATGAAGGAATAAAGGCATAAATTACATGGGGACATAACAAAATAGCAGAAGAGAACCATAAAACATGTACCTTGATCGAAGGGCTTGTTTGGATTCCAGTTTCTGAAATAATCATCCTAAACGGGGAGAAAAGAAAAGGAAACTCAGGAAAAACATAATCGGTTTTTTTTTTTCAATACTATATTAAATAATTAAAGTACAAATGAATCAACTCACTGTTTGATTCTAATATATTTAGCCCATATCAAAAGGTTGTGGTCTAAAAAGTAGTAAATACAGGTTAGAAATTGAAGAATAAAAAAATTCCTTGGATTCAGCACCCTGAATTTTTCCACTGAATTGCTTTTCAAACTGTGCCCGTTATTATATATTCTATTATTTCATATCAATCTACAACTTCTCATATCAAAGATAAGAACATGTTGTTCAGATAACATTGCATAATCTATACCATCTTGGTGTGGCAAAAGGTCAAAGTAAATCCAAAAATACTTCCATTCATTTGGACACATGTAAATGACACCATTGTGAATGTACAGAAACCCAGCAATAATATCATAACTATTATAAAGTACAGTAACACCCAGGAGCGCTTGCAGTGAGCAATTCTGTCACTGTTCCCACTACTAAGTTTTAAAAAGCTTCTTAAATCTGATGTAAAGGTATTATCCCACTGTGAGTCTCATGGCTCTGTTTTACATGAGACTGACTGGACTTGAAAATGGAGAAGGCAGGAACTGTCAGAATGCCTGAGCAGAAAGATTGTGTTGCAAACAAGTCTCTCTACAACAAGAATGGAAAACTCTTCCGTGTGCTGGATCAATTCGTATTCTTTGTACTTAGCAAATATTTACCTGAAGGCAAAGCTCTCCCCACTTTGTGAGATAGAAGAATTTAAGCCCAACTGTTCTATTTAGTTTCAGCATATTCCATATCTCTCACTTGTGTCCTCTTTGAGAGGACGGGATAACAACAGAGCAATGTACTTGAAGTGAGGAAGAATGGAAGACTGATACAACTGTGATATTTTTCTGCATATCAATATTAATTTCCTTTTTAATATATCCAGTATTCTATATTCATTTCTTGAGGGCTGCCACTGAAGAGGTGTCTTTATCAAGCTGTCCCTGTATTTCTTTTTCCTGCTAGGGCGGTAACTGAGAACCCAGCAGTGTAAGAGGCCTAAATTATTTCTTCCATAGGCTTTCTTTACTATTTATCTCCAGTACGCTGAATTTCACATGCTTTCATGCTATCCAGCCACCCTAACCTGGAGTATCTTGGAGACTTGGAAGCCAGCATGCCATGCTTTCTGGGGTCAGAATAGCCTACAGGGCTGTTTTAGGGGAAGGGGGGACCCTCCGTGCCCTTGCTGAACACCAGGAGATGCACATCAGGGCAGCGCATTCTCTCCTGAATGCTATGGACATCATGAGAAGCAGAAAGTGCCAACATTTCCAGCACAGAGAAGTGTGGAATGTGCCGTCCTGCTCCTTTCTGCTGCTCTGGGGGCAGGCGAGGGGGGCAAATGCTCCCTGTAATGAAGGGGCTGGATGTAATTCTGCATAAGTATCAGGAAGAAATGTATTTTGTTTCTGCAAGCATATTGATGCTCAGTGTCTATACTGACTTCATGGACAGTGACGATGTTCCACATTAAAAACAAAGATTATTTTTCATCATTTATTTCAGATACAAGCATGGGGGTTTGGCACCAGAAGTACAATCACAGACTTGCCTTTGAGTTCCACAGCTTTGTTAATACAAAACCCCCTCATGCTTTCACAATGCTTTGTAATTGATTATGATGTAGCGCTGAATTCACCAAGCATTAATCACTGTTCACAGTGTGCTGGGTTTTAAGCTTTTTGAGCAGAGTAATATGTTTTTCCAGCACCAAAATATTCTCTTTTTTTCCTTGCTTACATTTTTCCCTGGGTGTTGCTTTGCTGTTGGGTTTGCAGCATCAAAGACTGTTAAATAATTCAACTCCCAAGAAAGATTCCTTATGCTGGTGGCATACAGAAGCAGGCTTGAAATAAGGATTGGAAAGGGGGGGTTACCTCAATTTCAGTATCAATGGCATGTTTTACAGAAAATGCACCTTCCTCACAAAATAACCTACAAACCACCCATCTCTTCTGTAAACCTGTTCTTCTCTTTTATGCAGACCTCTTCAGTATTCCTTTTTGAAAACAGAAACCATGTTTATTTTAGAATATGCCTGAAACTACAGTGTAATAATGTAGGAAACTACACAAGTAAGAAAAAAAGCCCTAAAGAGTAGAATAGAGGAGACCATCTAGGTTTTCAGTATATAAACCTCATTATTATTTATAGGAGTAAATAATGACTATACATACGTTCCAGCAATACGGTCAATAGCAGTTCAAAATCACTTATGCCAGTTGTACAACAGAAAATAGAGCACTAGAGTTTCACTGAAACTGAATGGTCATGGCACTGTAAAGGTGAAATTCGTGCTATAGATATGGTTGAGCAGGAAATCTATGTCTTATTTAAATACACACCTACAGCTCTGTGGCTTGAAGAATGGCCAGGGCTTTATGCCAGTACTCTGCAAGGTGCTGAAAGCCATACATTAACCTGAAATGGCTTTTGCTAGGAGGAAAAACTCCAAATGGATACCATCATTTCACTGCAACTTCCTCCAACAGAAGAACAGCATGCTGATGTAGCAATAACAGTGCCTAAACATAACATGAATTTCCAAGGGGTGTGTGTGTATATATAGATATATATACATATATAAATACAATCAGCTTTATTAAGGACATCTAACATTCTGATTCAATAAAACACCTTCCTAACAGGCAAGTGCACAGAAATCTATATGCTACTGAGCTTTCTACCAGGACAGATACTAATGTGCTTAAAACACCTTATGCCTACAGTAGCATACAAAGCTATTACGTCACCTTAATATTAACATGTTAATAAATTGATATTAACACATTAATAATTAACATGTATCAATGCATTTCATTTATAACAATATTAACAGTTGCTCATAAGAGTTCAAAGTATAATATAAACTATTATATGTTGTAAATACTTTTATTTACTCTATGGATATTTACAAGTTAAAAGTGAAAAACCTACCTCAACTTCCTGAATACGCAAGCATTACAAATGAGAAAAGAAAAAAAGAATGAAATAAAACAATATCAAATTATGTTAACATTCATCAGTTTTCTCCTTGGCGGCCTTTTAAATGTGAAATCACTTATTTCAGACGATCTTCACCTCCACACGAAATAATCTCTCTTTTGTGACCTTTCCACCTTTGCTGTCACAGCCCAATGTTCATCTGCTGTGCTATTAGCGCGTTGCTCTTGTAAAGCACCAAGAAAAGGCATTTTCGATTCCTTTGGGCTGACAGACGAACCAGAAAGTGTTTCTCCACATATTTATGTGTTACATACCTGATATAGAAGAATTATTTCTTTTTCCCTAGCTGCCTTTAAAGACTTTGACAGACTTTGAAGGGAAGGCAAAGCCAGGCACAGATCCACTTCAATACAACAGGTGACAGCAACTGAGAAGGATTTTTGATGACCAAATATTTAAAAGTATCTTTCTCCTTGCACAGAATTCACACTTTGAAGGTTTTGCCTGTGGTTCAGCAAGTCAATCTTTTAATTAACTGAAGGCACTCTGCACACCTAAAAGCATGCACAAAAAGGAGAGAAGACTTGATACTGCAAACCACAGCTGGATCTCACCCCCTTAGCTTAACCCTGCATTAGATAAATGTGATGCACTGGCTTGGCCTCTGCACGCAGCCAGGAATGAACATGAACCCCACATTCCATGGGAATTCAATTGCAAGGCTTGGGACAGGAGCTGCTCTTCACTTCTGTGCCTGTTCATCATGGAGAATCATGGAATCCTCCTTAGAAATTTTAGCCTCAGGAAATTTAACTGAGAAATAATTCACAAGCACAGCAAATGGAAAGCAAACAGAAACTGCAGGACTTGGGCCTCGGTTCTGCATTTTTATGAATTTGGTTGAAGCAAGCAAGAGGTGAGGAGATGAAACACGTTCTGAAGCGATTTAAACCCTTTTTGCTATACCATGCACAATAAATTATTGCTTCTTAAGGAGAACAAAATATTCTTTTATCATTCAATGCACAGGTCTCAACTTAGATCGATATACCATCAACAAAGGCGACCAAGAACATAATCATATGTTACACTAAGTATGCAAAGGGCATATTAAAAAGTGCATGTTTAAAAGTTCACAAAAGCTTTCTTACAGGCAAAACTATTAAAAATGTCATTCATCAGACTCCATAGATGCATCAGAACTCACAGACTGGGTTCTGAATTGCAAAAATCAAACCTCAAAGTAGACCTGGGCACACCACAGTTTCCTGTTAGTCATATCAAAGATGGTAGTAAATACAAATTGACCCTAAGAGCAGGACATTAACGTGTGACTGCTCTTCTCTTAACCTCCTGTATCACTACAATACCAATACAGTTAAAAAGCTGAAAATTAACAATAAAACCAGACCTATCCTCTTTTCCCCCACCAACTAAGAAAGCAAACAACAGCTTCTTGTTCTCCTGAAGTTTGAGCGTTCAAGTTAATCCCATTAAACCTACTCCCTTGTCACTTATTGGTTTAGTTATTACCTAAGACTTGGTATTGTGCAAGAGTTAACGAAGCATGGTTAATTTAACACACAGGCACTCTCTATACTTATTTACTTGTCAAAGAAGCTCCTGCAAGATGCTCTTGTTTATAAATAGAGCCAAACATGAGCTAAATGGGTGCATAAATATTTATCTTTTGGTGCATTAATTAAGCTTCTAAGTTATTTGTATGAATCAAAGAGAAATGAGATGCTGACTGAAAAACCCTGCACAGAAAATCCCCCCCATCACAAATCCCTCATCCCAGGTCCTATCCTGAGGAAACTCAATACAGGGTGCAACCCCAAGGACTGTCAGATAACCTTTAGGAGGTAATCTTCATTCCCAGCCAACAAGAGCCTAAATTTCAAAGTATCTCCAGGAGGGATGTTTATCAACACTGGTTTGCAGCCTGCTCTATGGTTAAACCCTTGACTCTCACAGAGACCAG